AGGAGGAGGAGGAGGAGGAGGAGGAGGAGGAGGAGGAGGAGGAGGAGGAGGAGGGCAAGAGCTTCCTCCTTTTCTTCTGCCCTCCTCCAACCCACAACCGATTAGAGGGAGCGGGCAGAGGGCCAGTAAGGCCTCTGTGAGTAACAAGTGCAACCTTGCAGCCCCAAAGGGAAAGGCAGGAAGGGGAAGTGAGTGGTGAGGAATAAGCAAGGACCTGATGATCTGGCAGTCCAGCAGCCGCAGCAAAGACTGCAGCTATTTTGTCTCCTGACCACAGCTCCTGGAGATGAGCCCAGTTCTCTCTCCAGCCTCCTGGACTCCTAGGCCCAGCCATCTGGTCTCCCAGCTTGCTTTCCACCCGATGAAGCTGCCTTCTGGATTAAAGGTGGCCATGGGCTGCCTTCCTCCAGATTAGGAAGGGTTTTTGGTGCGGGAGAGGCCAAATGGCATCACACCAGAGTTGCTGGTAGTAAAGATAAGGGGCCATTTTTATTTACCCTTGAAATTCCATTTCAGTTTGGAGTTTTTGCTTTAGCAGTGCCGTGTTCCCTAACCTGGGCCATTTCCAAGATATGGTCTTCAGCTTGTTGTTGTTGTTAGTTGCAAAGTCATGTCTGACCCATCGCAACCCCATGGACAACATTCCTCCAGGCCTTCCTGTCCTCTAACCATCCCCTGGAGTCCATTTAAGCTCACACCGAATGCTTCAGTGACTCCATCCAGCCACCTCATCCTCTGCCATATCTGCCTTCTTCTTCTTCTGCTCTCAATCGTTCCCAGCATCAGGCTCTTCTCCAGTGAGTCCTTCCTTTTCCTTAGGTGGCCAAAGCCTTTGAGTTTCATCTTCAGGATCTGGCCTTCTCAGGGTTGATCTCCTCTAGGATTGACCGATTTGATCACCTTGCAGTCCAAAGGACTCGCAAAAGTCTTCTCCAGCACCATTGTTCAAAGGCCTCAATTTTTTGGCCCTCGGCCTTCCTTATAGTGGACTTCAACTACCAGAATCCTTATCAATGGCCATGCTGGTAGTGGAATTGTGGGAGTTGAAGTTCACCTACCCCAAAATGGCCAAGGTTGGGAAACACAGCTCTAGCAGTAGTTTCCAACTGTTCCAGGCGGCTTTGACAGTGGCAGGAAAGCTGGAACCATTGAGAAGGCTTTTGGTTTCATCTCCAGCCAATATAAACCGCTCCAAACTCGGTTGCAGAAAGTACGACTTCAGCCACAGAGTGGTCAATGCCTGGAATGCACTACCTGACTCTGTTGTTACATCCTCAAACTCCACACTCCTTTAAACTCAAACTATCCGCTCTTGACCTCACCCCATTCCTAAGAGGTCTGTGAGGGGCGTGCATCGTGCCTCCCGTCCCTGTCCTATTGTCCCCGTTTATTCATACCCATTTCCTGTATTCTTACTCATGTTTATACTTAGACCTATTATCTTGTAAGCGATTGACAAATCAAATAAATAAAATAAATAAAGACATCTCAATCCAGGGCCATACTTGTGGAAGAGAAGGAGGTAGGAGAGTCAGAAGCCGGACTAAAGGAAATTATAAGTTGAGAAGGTATTTCAGAAGGTCCCACCTCTGGAAGCAAACAAACAATACCCCAAATGTTAAGTGGGAAGGAGGTGGGTTTGTAAAACGAATCTCCTCTCATGGTATTCAGTAATGTGTAGGTCTTGAAAGAGATGCCCTAAAATCTAAAATAGAATTTGGGACAACCAGGAGACAGTGAGTTCAAGTCGACTAAGTGAATTTGGGCCCATCCCCAGGAGACTGTGAATTCTAGTTCCTCCTTAGGCATGAAAGCTTTGGGGGTGACTTTGGGCCAGTCGCTCTGTCAGGTTCCGACTTGCGTTCCCCTAAAACTCCAGGCAACCCTTGGTGGAGACGAGACCTGGCTTCCACCCTTTAAAGGCTAAAACGTCAAAGCTTTTGAGCTGATGACAAACGTGTCAGGAAATGGGCAAGAGAAATATGATTTAAGTTCCTGGTCTCTGGCAGGGCGAGGGACACCTGGTTAAAAAGTCCTAACGGAAACTGGCATTTTTCTGCAGCTGGCAGCTCCTTCTCATTTGCAAATTTGGTTTGCCACAATCTAACTGATGGAAGATCATTTTAAGGACAGGCCCAAAGGATCCTTTCAAAATATTTTCCGCTTGAATATTTGTCCAGTTTCAGTTGTGGGCTCTCAAGGGCTGCAGGAATGCCTTGGTTGCTGGAATTTAAAGCCCATGAATAATGCATATGACCTCGCTAAGGGACTGACGCACACATCTCTCTCTCTCTCTTTCTCCTTCTCCCCCCTCTCTCTTCTTCCTCTCTCCTCACCTCTCTCTCTCTCTTAGAAGAATGCATTTATGATGTTTTATCATTGTTATTCTAGAACAGGGGTCTTCAAACTTGACAGCAAACTTGACAGCTTGTGGACTTCAACTCCTAGAATTCCTCCTCCCGTCATGTTAGCTCAGGAATTCTGGGTGTTGAAGTCCACAAGTCTTAAACTTGCCAAGTTTGAAGACCCTTGTTCTAGAACGTGATCCACTGGGTAATCTAGCTTCGCCAAAGTTACTGAAACAAAATGTGGTTCACGCTTTCATGGTGTTGTGTTAAACCAGCCAGTATTGTTGACGGCATAGCTTGTGGTATGGTTTTATTCACTGATGGTTTATTTGGCACACTGAGGCTACGCTAAGCCAGCCCGAGTTTCATGTGTTGTGTGGACCCAATAATTGGGTTTTAAACGTAGTGGACAAATGCACATTATCCCAAATTAACCAATAGGAGAGAATATTTGTAGCTCGGGGTTCAACTGTGGGGGTCCTTGGAATCCACAACACCTCTTGGCCAGGAAGACCCAGATCAGCAGAGATTAACACCAAAATTAATAGA